GAGAGAGAGAGAGAGGAACAGATGAATAAGCGTGCATCGTCTTAATGACTGACGGTGATCGCGTGACCGCGAGTTGTGTACAAGTAAGCGCGGAGACAACGAATGGTTTGGACGCGTCTATAATTTTCCTCCGCGTCAAACGCCGGAGTTCCGTAATTGTTCAAAGCTCGTAAGTTAATTCGCGCAATTAGAGAATTAGAGCGATTCCGGATTCGAGTCGAGTGCGCACCCTCAGCGTAAGAAAATTAATTATCGAGCGGGGGAGAATTGGTCGTCGTTAGAGCGCGAAACAGAAATGCTAGAATTGTTGGAATGGTGGGCTCTGGTTATAAATTGTATCCAAATTTCCGAAGATCTTACGAAGTTTCGAAGGAGTAGGTCGATGAATGAGGGGAATTTTGAAGAAAGAAACTTTCTATTTCTACAAATTTGAAGAAAAATTGATTTGTGGAATATTTAAGTCGTTACCGAATGGTAAATGGTAAATGGAAACGAATCCATATACTTATTTCTTCATTGATTGGTCGTCGAATTGATCGTTTAATCGATGAGCATTCGTGTCTGGATGCAATTCCAGTGATGATCAGCCTGTCGTTACGAGGCAATGTATTCCAACGGATATCGGACAGACTTCGTTTAGAATAAAATCGAAACGATGCGCGTATCAAATCGAAATTTGTCTCTGGAGAAAAGCAAATTTATGAAATGTTTAAAGAGTATTTAATTCCTTAAGAATCCACGAGGACACGCATAACATCGTGAACACGAAGTTCGATGATATTAAAATTTTACAATGGAAGATTTCGTCCCATGCAGAATCTGGGCGAAAGCATTATTGAAATGTCGAGATTTCATAACCGTGAACGATCCATTCATGCGATTTTACGATACTGTTAATGCGTGGTTCATGGAATATCAAAATTTATGCGAAGTAAATTCTCGTTGAACGATCCTTAATGTGGATGGACAATTCAAGGAAAATTCAATCGTTTCTTCCGAGGGTCGAGGAAAATCCTCGAATTATGTCGATAATAATATCTTTTAATCTTTTAGAAGATCGATCGAGATCGAGAAGATATACGAAATACGAAGAATATAATAGAAATGTTACGGTGAATTATTCAAAGGTATACAACAGCATGTACAATCGACTTAGGAAATAAAATTCAGTAGTAGGAAAAAAACGTGTACGTTTCGTTAAATATTAATTTCAATTCATTTCTTCTAATCATTAATATTAATTTATTTAAAGTTTGCAGCGGTGTGTTCAAAGTTGCCACGCGGATATATCGTTACTTCTTAACGAAGTCGACTTTGAAAGAGAAAGATCGGTCGAATCGAGGCAATTAATAAGGGCTTTTCAAAAAGTAAGATGTGCAATTTTTATCAAAGGAACAGGAAAAATGTTTTATGAAGGTGGAATTGATGAGAGCCATCTGAAAAATGTCATGTTGAAAAAGTAGTGGATAGTGGGGGGAGGAAAAAAGTTGCAATAAGAGCTGCTTCGCGAAAAGAGGGACGAGGATTAAAATAAAATATTAATCGGAAATGGCGGGGCGACTCGTTTCGAATTTCCTCGACTTTGTTGTAAATAAAACGATTCGAGCGGGGGGGGGGCGTATGTATGCGAATTTTCCTCTTTGAAGAAAGAGGATTTTATTAATAAATAAAATTATTATTGGCCTCGCGTTCCGACGAAAATAACGCGAGAATTTGATATTATAATAATATCCGATATCCCCGTACTTATTAATTATAATTCGTTACACACGAAATTCCTTTTGTATCTCTTTTGTCAAAAAAAAAAGAAAAAAAAAATCAGCAATTTTAATATCCTTTGATACGAATTTCATTACCTCGTAAGAAGCATTCGAATAATATCGTTTCTCGAAATATTATTGATTCGTAAGGATAAAATTCAAAATAAAGTGAAATAAAAGTGTTCGAGTAAAATTAATTAATTTTGGAGACGCAAAATTAATATTACACGTAAAATTAGTATTAGACGTGTATATATATGCATGTCCAGCCAACGATCAACAATCGTATCGAACCCATTAATCGTTGAACAAATAAAACGGATCAACAATCGACGTCGAAACCTGTAGGTTTAATTGTTGTTTGATTTCGAGCGCGTCATTTAAACAGTCAATCCAATAATAATTGACAAACTGTATCCCCAAGATCATTTATCAAAATTCCAACGCTGTCCACTTCGGTATGCAAAAACCGTCGCAACTATCATCGTCACATTGTCCACTTCGAAATGAAACGTCCATGTTTCGCTCGTCATTTCAAAAATGAAAAGAAGATCGAAGCATCGTTTCTATATAAAATATAAAAGAAGATAAAAGAGACATATAGAAGAAGAAGAATCGTATCGAAACGGTGTTTGAATCGTTTCTTTGTATATTCGATTACGAAGGGATGCGTTGTTCAGAAAGGCGAGGAAATCACATGATGACGGGACAATGGTGTTGTCACGTGAAGAGATAACTTGACGTCTTGGATACGTGGCTTGGATCCGATAATAAGACGAAAATGATGGAAAAGAAGAGGGAAGGAAAGTTGTCGTCAGAACTCGTCTCCTCTTGTTTATTCCACGCGATGAAACGGGATGACAATCTGTCGTCCACGAATTGACGTTCGTCGTTGAGGCGTCTGTCGCGACTTAATCTACCACTAGTTTCTCTTTCTTGATCGCCACGAGACAAATGAAAGGGTAAACCAAAGTTACCGCCATCGGATCTCGATAATTCTGTCGTTCACGTTCCGATTGATTAAACCGTGTCTCGAAGATTCGCTTCGAGAATCTTGCTTCTTTTTCCTTGCCGGCAAGTACAAACGAATCGTTGTATTTTTATCGATCGTGAAGATACTTCCAATTTGGATTAATTGATTTTGGAAATAGGGGATGAAGTGTCCGAATTCTTTTTACAAATTTCTCTTTCGTCTAATCGTTCTTTTTCGCCTGAAATATCAGGTAAACATGTACAAATGTACAATGAAAATTCTTCGAGTGGACTTCTTCACTTTTCTTCGCCCAGAAAGAAAAAAATGAAGAAATGTTTCCTTTCGAAAACGGGAAAAGAGTCAAGACAGGAATTTAGAAGCGTTCCATTCTGTTTCAATGAATACAATAACCTTAAATTTGAGTTTCTAAAGAGGGTTTCGAGAGGGATGGCCTCTCCACTCTTCGGATCCTTCGATATTCGATAAAATCGATAGAGAGAGAGAGAGAGAGAGAGAGATAGGAGAGGAGGGCTATATCTCTTTGCGGCACAGTTTCGAGAACAGAGTTACGAGGCTAGGAAGTGACCAATAGTAAATTCCGCTGCGTGATTCCAAAACGAGGGTTCCGTCTCCAGGAAGTGTGGCCACATATGAGGCGAAACGGCCCCTCTGACCTACGACCTTCCGCTCCATACGCCCCTCCTTCCTTCTTCTAACAAGTTTATCACCGTTCCACCTATGATAGACCGTCCACGTCGACCAATCTTTCTTTTGTCGAAAGAAGAGAAGAAAGAGGGGCAAAAGAATGTAGAGAAGATACACGGGGAAGAAAAATCAAGAGAAATGAAATATTTATCGAGAATTTGTATCTTGTTAAAAACAGATATTTCTTTTTTTTTTTTTTTCATACACACAATTACGAATAAGAAAAAGACTTGATCGATTGTTGTTAATTTATCGTAAAATGGAGTCGAGAATGAGAAAAGCATTTAATTTTCCGAGAAAGAAATATCCGAAAGGAGAAGCGACACATAAATATGTATGTATACGCTGATTCTTTGACCCCTCCCTTCTCCCATCTCTAAAGAGAATCGCGCGTTGAAGAAAGTCCGTGAACTGAAATAAAAGGAAGTGTTCGTCGCGGTAACAAAAGCCGACAAACTAGCGCGAAGTAAAGCTGGGAGGGGGGAGTTGGGGAAGGCAAAGGCGGACAAACAACAAACTGCTCGTAATGCCGGAAAAGTGAAGTAAAACTCGGTGGGAATGGTGCACGTAGCGGCGGGTGAAGAGTGGCAAAGAAACTGCGCCTGGCCTGCAAACTTTGCGAATAAAGGAAGGGGGGGTGGTGGTAGTGGTACACACTCGAAGGACGACGAAATGGTTTCTCAAGGGGTGTGGAAACAAGGATGAAACACAGGGACTTGTATCATCGCGCGCAAGTTAACGAAACGATTTTAAAGCGGGCAAAGAGAGGAGGGCGTGCGAGAGAATTATTCGCAAGTAAATCCGATCCGTGGAGACGTTTTAAATGATTTAAGAGAAGGAAAAGGTGGATCGTTTTGGAGATGGTATTCTCTTGGATCAAATGAAAAATCGTCCAAAGCTCGTTGACAAAACGTCTGCCACGACTCGAATCGAAACGCTCGTCCTCTTCTCCTAATTTCCACGCGCGTAAATAATTGGAAGAGTGGAAGAGAAGGAGGATGTGGCGATCAATGAGCAATTGGAATTCTCCTCCTGGCCGGTGGGCAGGAAGTGGGCAATAGGAAGTTCGTGCGTCCAGGAAACGTATCCGAGTGGTTTGAATCGAAACAATCGAGCCATGGATACATGGCCCATCCTCGTTGTCTATTGATTAGAGTGCCATTCATCGCGGTTAATTGCCACGAATCGGGAGAAATCGATCTGTTTTTCCGTCTTCCGATTCCTGCGAAGCGAAAGTGAATCGAGTGACGGCCGAGCTGAATAACTCGATAATTATTCATATTGGGATTCGAATTCCGTATATTGAAAAAGGCGGGTCTATCGGGGGATTTATCGGGACTGGAAATAATCTCGAATCGCGGGGAGAATTTCATCAAATTTCCGCGCGATAGCCGCGTTAATTAGCTGGTTTATTACCGCTTCGATGATTTGTTAAATATTCTATTGACTGTTTGATCCTCGTGGCGAGGGATATATTGAAATTATACGCGATATGTTTGCGTTAAATTTTATTGCTATTGATTTTTGAGTTTCGAAAAGAGGGGAAAGGGAAACGAAGTGGAAAATGAATGAACGATAAAAAAGGAGATAAGAAAGGACTTGAAAGGAGAATTATGTTTTGGTATCTCAATATTTAAAAATTTATGCGTAACCAAAAATAATGAATTTCTTCTTTCCTCTGATACGAATTATAAATAAATTAGGCGAGT